TGTAGGATTCTAACTGCATCGTTCGGTGTATCGCATTTTTTTTCGCCACTCATCCACATATCTTGTACATGCACGAGTTCTTCGAAGCTTTCATGTACAGTTTCTAGATCCGCACACAGTTCACAATATATGCTGTCTACACAGTATTCCAATTCAAATAAAAATAATATGGTTGATGGTTTCATGTACATAGAAGTATTATTTGATGTTACTTTTACAATATTTCCGTGGCGCATTCTAACTAGTTCTATAGCTAAATGATTAAGCTGTATCGCTGATGATGATGACGCATCTGTTGCCTTTAGCAGCTGGTCTATGTTTGATTGATTTTGTCTGTATTCTTTCCAAATTGATTGATCTAACTCAATCTGATGTCCTTGATTATCGCCGAGAATTATTTCTACGTAGGATGCACGAGGTACTACTCTGATCCCAATATCTATGTATTTGAACGATGTAGATGTCAGCGGTAACCTCCTGCACATGATACGCGGCGGGATATGTGGTTCATCGTTAGAACTGAAAGAAAATATAAAGTAAAATAAATACAATTATACGTGTAAAAAATGTGTGCAAATATGCAGTAGCTTTATGATACTCACACGTCACCACACTGTTTCTTGCATGATACAGTTTCATCTTGAGGAACGGATGGCGTATAACTGCTTCGATGAACATACCGTGTGTAACGGCGATTGTTAAAACTGTTTGAAAAATACAATTAAATGTGGAAAATGGTAAAGGAAAATATACGATAACTTTGTAATACTTACACGCTACGCTGTTTCTTGGTGGATGACATTTCCTGAGGAGTGTAATAATTCATTCTTGCTAAGGAAATCTTAAGGCCTATCAGGACACGAAGAAACTGGATGATAAATCCGAACTTCTTGTCTAACGATGCGTTCGTGGGTCCCAACGTATTCTTAGTTCTCGATCTCGTATAAAATCTCCTACTGTGGTACAGCGGGCTTCCGGACCGTTTATATACCATAAAAAGTCACTGTCAGCAGCCAGGTTTAGGCGCTTGACCCCGTGACTCATAACATGGAAAATAAGAATACGCGCAGCTGTGTCGGTGGTAATCAGAGGCATCTTC